AGCTGCGGCAGCCGTGGTGGCAATGAACCGGTTGCAGCGAACGGGCCACAGCAAGCTGGTGGTATTCCAGGAGGCAAATCCAATCGCTAATCAGATGCTCAGCAGTGAAGGCTCCAGCGTTCCCCGGCAGCAGTAGCAGCTCAGCTTAGTTGATCGGTGGTGGGAGCAACGGAGCAGAGCCCTGACGAACCATGTGCTGGGGCTGCGATAACATGCTGAAGCTGTTTTCTGTTTGCTGCAAGGATGCTAGACAGATGAATATTGGATGGCTGCTGGGAGGCAGAGGTAGATTTTTTTCTTGTTTTCTTTATCTACAGCTAATGTGCGTCTTATAGTCCAGAGCATCTTATAGTCCAAAAAATATGATACTTCCTGCTCGGTTAGCAGTCTCATGGAGGAAAGGATCTTTTGTTTATTAGTATGTGGAATCTGTGGCATCTTGAAAGGAATGTTTACCTGAATGGGCTGCCTCCTTCGGCCAATTCCAACTTCTTTGTCAAATTTGTTACCTTTTGTTTTAGTGTAATTTCTCACCTTTTACCCTGGAAATGGCTATGAGATTGAGACAGAAGAATAAGGAAAGGTTGAATGGTAGGAAAGATTTGATTTCCTTCCCACAGATATAATACTTATTTTCAAGAAAATATCAGCACAATACTGCCTTCATTATGTGATTTCTCATCTGCTTTTGTTTCTTTCATAGTCAGATTTAAATGAAAGGAGACTTCTCTTTTTGGCTCATTTATAAAGCTGAATATTATCACTAGTAATTGTATGTTGCTAATCACAAATCTTGCTCATGACGCACAATCTTTAATTATAGTATAACATCTACTATCCCTAAATAAATATTGTTTTTTCAAATGGTTTGGCTTTTCAATTTTTTCATTTCTATTTTAGTTTTGTCCCAGTCTAGACCATAAAAATAATGGACCTTTAGGAGGCTGAGATAACTATCTAACAATTCAAAAATCTGACTTTCCTCAATTATTTAGGTAAATAAAATGTAACCATCTTTATATATTCCTCTTAGAAGGCATCCAACAGGGATGCGGTGGCTCAGTGGCTAAGACACTGAGCTTGTCAATCGAAAGGTTGGCAGTTCAGTGGTTCAAATCCCTAGTGCCACATAATGGGGTGAGCTCCTGTTACTTGTCCCAGCATCTGCCAACCTAGCAGTTCAAAAGCATGTAAAAAATGTAAGTAGAAAAATAAGGACCACCTTTGGTGGGAAGGTGACAGCGTTCTGTGTGCCTTTGGCATTTAGTCATTCCGGCCACATGACCACAGAGATGACTTCGGACAGCGCTGGCTCTTCGGCTTTGAAACGGAGATGAGCACCGCCCCCTAGAGTTGGGAACGACTAGCACATATGTGCGAGGGGAACCTTTACCTTTATCTTTAGAAGGCATCCAAATATATCTAATGTATATATTTTCTTCCCCCAAAAGACCACCTCAAAGCAAACTATAATTACTCATTTTATATGGAAACTATACAGCTATGGTATTAGTTCCTGTTTGTTGAAATTTAAACTAAAAACTATTCAAAAGATTTATTTGTGTATGTGGATTGGTTTGATTTCAGGCCATAAAGCAATATAATATAGGTACAAATACAAATGGATGAATTATTATCACCTGAATAAAGATATTTATCTCATTAGCTAGACTAGAAGGGACCAGGTAGAATGACAGCCCATGAAGGAATTCCTTTCAGATTACCATACACAAATTGCTTAGTATTTGGATAGAATAACATAAATGAATAGCAGAGGGAATAAATTGGAAATGAAGACCAAAAAAAATAAACTAGAACAATGTTTCTCAATTTAGCAAATTTAATTTAGACGGGCTTCAATTCCTATAATTCCCCAGCCATCCATACCTGCCTTTGTCATAAAAGCCAGATGGGTGACTTTGGACTAGCCATTTTCTTTCAGCCCAACCCACCTCACTGGGTGGTTGTTGTAAGGAAAATAGGAAAGGAACAAGCATTTAGTATGTTAGTTGCTTTTTATAAAAAGATTACAGGTAGAAATAAAAAAGTAAAGGGAAGGGAAGTGTAAAGTACAATCAAATAAATAGAAAAGAGATATGGCAAGGCAAAGTATTACATGGCCAGTATATTAAAAAAAAAAAATAGCAGCAGGGAAAGTAGGTAATACAACCTAAGGGCAGAAAAGTTGAAGAAAGAAACTGAGGGCCTAATTCTGACTGCACAAGAGCAAGCCTTAAGAACAAATGCATACAAAGCCAGAATTGAGAAGACGGCAACAGACAGCAAGTGCTTTCTCTGCAAAGAAATTGAATAAATAGTGGATCACATATTTCAGCTATGATGCTGCTTCCTTGGTTAGAGCTCTGCAGATGGATTTTTAAAGAATACTATGACTTTTGCTGCCTTTCCCTGGTTAATGGTTATGCCATGATTGTGGACCAGCCAACTGTTAAAACAGGATTCTGATGAGAATGGGATCTTGGGCAGGGGTGGGTTCTACTTATCTTTACTACTGGTTCGCAGTGGGGCCGCGCACTCTTCTGAGCAAGTGCAGAAGCTTCTGCGCATGCGCAGAAGCATTTTGATGACGTTGGGGTCGGTAGGCAGAGCCTCCCGCCGGTTTTACTACCAGTTCTATAGAACTGGTGCGAACCGGGGGCAACCCACCACTGGTCTTGGAGAATATTCCCAGGATATTGTTGGCTGTAGGTTATATATGTTTATGGAACTGAATTGTTGTTAGTGATGAAGCATCAAAGAAATCCATAGGCAGACTAGACTCCTCCTGGGTGCTTAGGGAGATAGAGAGTGCTCATTCTACCCTATATTGCTTAACGCATTGTAAGCCGCCCTGAGTCTCCGGAGAAGGGCGGCATATAAATCAAATTAAAAAAAAAAAAAGAAGTAAAGATGGCTGAGGACCATATTATCAATGTTTGTGATAGAGGAAGATAGAGCAGGGGATACACAGATGGCTACTGCAGGAATGGGAGGTACACATTGCTGCAGATTTTCACTTTTGGCCTGGCAAATACTTTCCCTGGGCCCTAATGAGCATATTATTGAATGACTTCAGGCTTCTACTGGAAAATATCAGTTCCTCATTCATTTATAGCCTGATGGTAGATGAACAACACAGACCTGGTATGTATTATTGACACGATTGGTAATGGGGATATATCCTATTGATACATCAAGGCTGTGGAAGTGGTGATGAAGCAATAATCCTGTCTGAGAACTTAGCAGAAACCAGATATGCTGGTCCAGGCAAGAGTGCCTCTTTATGAAACTGACCTGTAGCCTCAAATTTTGATTTATGTTAATATTATTATTGTATTATGATAATACAATGATATCCCGCAAGAGTTCTTTATAAGTCCTTGGACCTCAAAGGCTAGTACTACAGTGTCTCCAGTTGTTTGTGCTGGGGAATTCCAATTTCATTCCTTTAGAATAGGAAATGTATAACTTCCATGAGCATGTTCCAGGTGGTCTGAGTCCTGACTAAACGGTTCAGCAAAGGCTAAACATGTTAGACCTACTTTCTTTGAGAGAAGATGGCATGTAATCTATAGATAGTTAGGTAAATGACATTGATAGACATAAACCAGATTCATTCAGAGTGCAACTCAAGTCCAAAACAATCTAAGGCAGGGAAGAAATGACTCAGATACCTCCTTAGCCTCTTAAGAATATGCATGGTGGTGGTTAGTAAAATACAATCAGATTTGCAAAATTCTGTCACACTAAGAGTAAATTTAGTCTTCTCTGGAATCTATTTGTTCATCTGATCTATATTGTAGGCTTAATATCATATAAAGATGGAGGAAATAATAATCGGTCTTTTACCATGGTAACATAGAACACTTTCTGTTCAAGTTGTGGATTATTCGCTCGTTGGACCACTGTGAGAACTGAGGACCTATTAAAATGCTTGTCCAAGTGCGTCCTGGATCTTGAAGTGGAAACTAGAGAAGTCCTGGTGAAATGATTCTCTTGCACTTAGTAGGCATATAGTAACAGGAAATAACAGAGTTTTGGAGATTGTTGTGAAAGGAAGTAAGCAGAGACATTTAGTATGACACTGATGACCAGTTATGATTAAATATTCTATGGGTGCATATGCTGGTCCAGTCTGTAGCAAAAAGAGCAATGAAGTATGTCTACTTCTCCACTCTTATTGCCTTTGTTGATTCTTGTCTAGCTAGCATGTTTAGAGTTACCCATATCCTGTTGTGGAACAAAAGGCAAGACAACATCTCTGCAGGCAACTGCAACATGTTTAAAAGTTTCCTTGAAGATAATTTTGCTAACATTTACTCAGATCTTGATACCAGTTGAGCAGACTGAAGTGAAGTATTGCAAGATGTGTTTGTAACATGATACAGGATTCTTTTGACATTCTGGAGCCTAAAGAAGTGGGTAAGGTTCAAAAAGCAAATGTCTTGTTGAAAAAGGATGAGTTATCATCATCACTGAAAGAAGTACTCAACCCAACAGTATACAGATCATCCTTGCTTAGCAATCACTTATTCTATGACCATATAATGGCATTGAACAAGGAGACTTGTGGCTGGTCCTCTAAATTGCACTGGTTGCAGCATCCCCAAGGTGCTTGGGTGCTTGGCAGTGATGTGCAATTATGACGTTTGCATCATCCATAGTCATGTAATCACCATTTTCATTTTTACAGCTGACTTCTGACAAACAAGTCAATGGGAAAGCTGGTAGGAAGTTGCATGATGCTGACTTAATTTATTAATATAATTTTATTGAACAAATTTTAAACAAGATGAAAGCAATATAAAAGAATAGAAACAAAGAAAATAAGAAAGAATAGTGAATACATTATATAGAAAATATTTTAAAAAAGAAATTACAAATTTTAAGGAAGCGGCTTCCAATCTTTTTGACAGATATTATAAATACATTTGTATTTTACCCCTTCTATTTAAGATAGCATGAGTGTGATGGCTCAATGGTTAAGACACTGGGCTTACCAGTTGGAAAGTCAAGAACATAGGTTTGAGACCTGAGTGCCATGCAACTGAGGAAGGTTCTAACTGAAAGAAACAGAACCAAGAATAAGGCTTTCTTCATGGTAACTCTACTGCTTTAAAATACTTTGCTTCAAAAGATGTTTGTTTTTCCCTTATTGTTAGCCTTTTGCAAGGCCATCAAAATTATTTTGTAGTGATGACTCGTGCTGATGTTTTCGGGAATTGTTTAGTTTGTGGTTGAATGTTTTATATTATCTTGATTTATGCTATATGCCACCCAGAGTTCAGTGATTGGGGAAGTATGCAAACAACTGAAATAAACATACAAGCAAACAAATATTTGGCATGCATAAAAGAAACAAAAAGCAGGATTTGAACATGTCATTAAGCTAGTAAACCAGGGAAAAGGTGTATGGAAATAAGAAAGTACATCAGTGTTTCCTTGAGGATCAGCAGATCCTCAAAGGGAAATTCTTCCGAACATTTTTGACAATTTGGTGTTGAAATATTTAAAACAGACAACTGGTTTCATAACGATAAAGATACAAGAGTCGTCTGTGATTTCATTAAGATACCTATTGCATTGATACCTGAGGGCTTCAACCAAAGCCTGCTGACGTCAATGGAGATATTTTCACTGACTTCAAGGGTCTTGTACCCGGACATTAACTCTGCAAAATAAAAAGAAAAGAAACAATAATACAGTCTGCCCTAGGTAGAAACATTCTTGCTTCCTTTTCTATTCTCAGCATGCATGTTATAATATGAATTGTACAGGAGACAGAAGAAATCTGGAGGGTAGGATACAAAATGAAAAAGATTAAAAACATAAGTGAAGGAGTGGCTTTTAACCATTAACAGGAACTATTTTTGCCAGTTGCAGCAAGAAAGATGACATTCACTATTAATGTGCATGTATTTACAATGTGGCTTTGTTAACTTTTCAATTAGTGTTACTGGCATCAAAATTGTGAATGTTCCATTTGGTAGATGCTATTCTTCTTGCATATTTCTTCTCAACAAAGACATGTTTTGTGTGTGGTAGGCTCCCCTTTTAAAAATTCATTCATCTCATCCAAAATCTTAGATATTTATTGGACTGCATCCAGGCTTAGTCATAATTAAAGCAGACCTATAATAATTAGTAAAACTTGAAGCAGTATTTAGACCAATGCTTCTCAATCTTGGCAAGTTTATGGTCCATAAAGATCAGTGGGTAGTCTTTAACTACGAGTGGCTGTGGCTTCCGGCGTCCCGGTATAGTCAGCTGGTACCATCACTGACAATAGGGGATAAGATCTTGCTCCCCACAGAGAGGGCCCACAACTTGGGTGTCCTCCTGGATTCACGGTTATCTTTAGAAGATCATTTGATGGCTGTGGCCAGGGGTGCCTTTTATCAGGTTCGCCTGATCCGCCAGTTGCGTCCCTTTCTGGATCGGGACGCCTTGCGCACGGTCACTCATGCCCTAGTTACCTCCCGTATGGACTACTGTAATGCTCTCTACATGGGGCTCCCCTTGAAAAGCACCCGGAGGCTCCAACTGGTTTAGAACGTAGCCGCACAGGTGATTATGTGCGCAGCTCGTTACGCCCATGTAACACCTCTCCTACGCGAGCTGCACTGGCTCCCGGTGATCTTCCGGGTGCGATTCAAGGTGTTAGTTATCACCTTTAAAGAGCTCCATGGCTTAGGACCTGGGTACCTACAAGACCGTCTTTTGCCACCAATAGCCTCCCACCGACCAGTTCGTTCTCACAGGGAGGGACTACTTAGGGTACCGTCAGTCAAATTATTTTGACTGGCGACTCCCAGGGGGAGGGCCTTCTCTGTGGGGGCTCCAACCCTTTGGAATGAACTGCCCCCGGAGATATGGAATATCCCTGATCTCCGTGCTTTCCGCCGTGCCCTCAAGACCCTGATGTTCCAACAGGCAGGGCTAAACATACGAACATGTGAATGATTTTTTAAATGTTATCTAATTCTGGGTTTTATTTAATTGACCAAGCTAAGTAATAATTTTAATTAGCAATTTTATGATATTTGTGTGTCTATATTTTTCTTGACTGTACACCGCCTTGAGTCCTACGGGAGAAAGGCGGTATAGAAATATAATAAATAAATAAATAATAAATAAATAAATAAACTCCCAGAGTTGGAAGAGGAATTATGGGAGTTGAAGTCTATACATCCTAAAATTGCCATTTAGGTTGCCTTTATTCAGTGAAAAAATACAAATCAATATACTTCTGGACAGACCCGGCTCCACTTGAATACATCCAAGGAAAAGGCAAGTCCATCACTTCACTGATTAATTAGTTCTGTAATCAATTTGTTCTGATTGATTGGCTCTTTTTCTTATTTTTCAAATGAAATCTATCTTCCTGAAATTGAAATTGAAATCTTCCATGTTCTGCAATCTGGAATGGTACAAAAAACAGCATGACCTTCTTTTGTGTGACATCCTTTCACATATTTAAACAACCATCACTTAATCCCTCAGCATTTTATTCTTATTGTAAAATATTCATGTCGCATCCCTATTCACAAGTTTTTGGTTCTAGTCCGTTGATCATCTTGAGGTTTCCCTTCTGCGTTCCAATTTATCTGAATCCTTGAAAAAATGGTGCCCATACTTCACAATTGCTGGTAGAACAATTTCAGGCTTCTCAAAAAAAATAAATAAATCCAAGTAAGAGTTTTTACAGGTTTACTCCCTTTATTTCAATGGGTTTACTCTAAATAAGGCTGCTTACAGATGTAATTTCTAATGTGACTGGATAACTTTTAGCCACAGTAGATGTCAAACTTTGATTGATTTCAAAACAAACTAATCAAGGTTGGAATTGGTATAATGCAACTGATTTTATTTATTTGTTTGCTTGTTTATTCAATTTACATGCTGCCCATCTGACCTGGAAGTGATTCTAAATGGCTTACAATCATTAAAAATCAATAAAACCATAAAAACAATAAATACTGACATTAAATTATTTAAAATTAACAAACATGAAAAGAAAGGAACAAAATGCACATGGGGAGCGATAGGGATTCCTATCTCAGTCCATTAACCACTTCCAGAAAGATGCACCCCCACTTAATTGTTAGATAAAGATGCTCATAATACTATATCTGGTATATGTGCTAGTGTATTGAAACTCAATTTGGGCAAACGTTATTTTATACATTAATTCTGTTCATTGCTTTTTGGTTCATTGCTTTTTGTAAATTTAGGTTTATTCATTTGTTATTTCCAAATTTATGCATTCTGGCAAGACTCTTCAAGGGAGAATAGCAATAAATGTCAAGTACAAGTTATATCAGTCAAAGCATTAATAAAATGTAATTATAGATAGCAATTAAATTCTCATAAATCCAGACCAACTATCATAAAAAATCATGCAAGTATAGAAGTAGGAAGGGAATGCTTGCTTATACAAATAGGTCTTAGGTTCTTAAAAATAAACTGAACAGAAATACACACAACCCCCTCCCCAACATATCAAATATGATGCTCAACAATATGTTAAAGTAGGCAAAACCAATGACACACCCTAAAATGGGGACAAAGTTGAAGTATAATTAATGGATAACAGTAACAAAAGCAAGGCATGTAGGGACAGCCAGATCCATTTCTAAACTGCTTTCTAAACTATATATTCCTGTCAGGCATGAAAGTTCAGGTCCACAAGTGAAGAGTATTCTCTCTGCCCCCTCCCCACAAAATAATGATGGAGAAAGCATCAAATATATATAGTTGCCCATACATACAGTTTCAAATATGTATAGCCCATTGCACAAGAAATATTATTATATACCTTATAGAGTACCTATAGTACTCTAAAGTACTATAGGTACTTTAGAGGAAAAAATTATATTAGATTTTGATTAGATAAGAAGGTGAGATTTTAAAAAATTGTGTCAATGTGAACTGTTAACAAATTAGCCATATAACGCAAATAATCTGAACTTTGAAAGTTGAGCTGAAAGTTGATCTTAGCCTCTTGAAATATCCAGTTAAATAAAGACCATAGTTTACAAGATTAATTTTTGTTTGTTTGTTTCAAGTTTTTTATTTTATTTTACATATACATATCAATGCATGAACAGTGTGGCACCTGGGTGTCATACATTCTAAAACAAATAAAACTAGTAAACTAGTTATTACATTCAACCAATTTATATATTTCTAATAATAATACACATTTATATTAAGTTATAGTCTATCATCATTTAATTATTCCATGTTTATTGCTCTAATACACTCACCATATTATTTGATCATGCATAATAATACTGCCATTCAATTTCTAAGCTTCCCTCTTGTTATTGCCTTTGTTATATAAAAATATATACACTAATATTCCCCCTTTTTCTTATTTCTCTCTCTCTTCTTTTATTCTATTTTAATCATGTCACCTTTTTATTAAAAGACATTTTCTTTCTATTCAACATCTCTCGCCCACTTTGGTGCTTTGAATCCTGTTCATTTTTAGCTTACCTCCCATATTTCACTCTTTACATCTATTTGTATTAAGATACAATCATTCACTATTTCATTATTCAATATTTCAATACACAATTCTAATACCAATCCTAGTATTATTTAGACATACAAACTTATTCTTATCATATTCTTTACAATCATCAAATCTATACAATTCTGATAGTAATACACGTTTATATTAAAGTATGTTTTCATTCTTTAATTGCTCAATGTTTCAATATATTATTCCAATGCCAATCACAATATTATTAAAACATACTTAATAGTACCATAATTCAATCTCTAGTTTTCCCATTTTATTGTTACTTTTATTCCATTATATAAAGGTATGTATATGCAAATGTTTTCCCCTACTCTTATTTCTACCTAACGTCTAACTGTGTCACCATTCTAAAAAAGAAGGGAAAGAAAAAGAAAAAGAAAAGAAAAGCAAAACATCAAAAGAGAGAGAGAGAGAGAGAGATCCTTTCCTTTCTATCTATTGTTCCACTTCAGTACTTTAGTTGCTATGCTTTTTTTGACTTGCCTCCCATATTCCTCTCTTAGATCTTTATCTCTATTTGCATCTACTTCTTGGCTATTCAATCTAAGTATTTCTCCCATCTCTACCCTCTTCCACTGCCTAGCTTCCAAAGTATCTGCCTAAACCCCTATCTCCCATTCAAAAACCTTCCTGTACCTCCAATTCTCTTTTCAACTCTCTTAAAATATTTCCCCCCTGGTTTAATTCATCAATCACTGTTATTTTTATTATCATCTCTCTTTGTCTTCTTCTTTTGTTCACTGGTTGTTAGGTTCTCTCTTTTCCTCCATTCTTTAGCTCCTCCCTTTTCTAAGTGTCTAGATCTTTACTCATCATTCCTTGTATAGTATTTTCCACTTTTTCCATAATCTCCTTAAATCTTTTCTCCATACTGTCCTTTGTGCTTTGGAAAATCAACACCATCTCCTTCAAAGTTTCACTCATTTCTTCCTTATGAAGCATCTTATTTTGTTTTTAAAAAATCCCACTTTTGTCCAGTAGTCCAAGAGCCCTTCAAAAAGTACACTAATCACAGTTCTTTGTATCCCATAGGTAATCAATCAGTTCCATTTAAATAGTCCCAGAAGTTATCAAAAGCCTCTTTACGTCCCCTTTACAGATTCAATCTTCTAGCATAACATTCAGGGGTCACTTTAATTAAATAACTTTCTTGTTCTCATATTTGAGTCTCCAGTAGTCCTGGGGTAGTAAATAGTAGTAGTAAACCCAGTAAATATTTTCACAATCCTTCATATAAATATTCCCAGACTTGTCTATTTTCCTTTCGTCAGCAGATGGCGCTCTCAACTTAAATTTCCATGTTGCCACTAGTCAGTCTAATTTCAGTTATTTTGATTGTAATTTTAATTGTAATTCAATTACAGAAGCAGGATAGGTTTTTAAAGTAAATTATTCCAGCGTTTTAAAATGCCTTCCCATTACCACATCTTCCCGGTTTAAGAGTCCAATTTTCTGTACTTTTAGAGATTTATTGTTCTTCTCTCTTTAAATCTTTTCCTTCCGGTCTAGTATTTTTCTCGGAATGCTTAATCATCGCTTTTGTCAGCTTTGGAAGTATATTAGGCCAGAAGCTTCAATGCTGCCACCTTCTCACGTGTGGGAAAGTAGGAGGGGGATTAAGGAGAGGGGTTGTTAGTAGACATAATAGCATTCTTCCTGTCGGTCAAGGTCAGGGCGATTCAGCATCTGGAGAAGGAGTGGTCAGGGGGCTGGATTGAGATGGAACGGACGTTGATTGGAGCATGTGATCAATTGGGGGGGAAAGGGGATGGTTTTGAGAGCTTTGACTTACTGAAGGAAAACCCGGGCTTTTCAGATTCGGGTTTTCCCAGATGTGCCACTTTGCCTATTCTAGTAACGAGAACTTTGGAAAAATGTTTGCTTCTGCGTCTTTACTTGGAGTTGGGGGTTTTCTGGAATGCCGACAGCTTTAACAAATAAGTCTGAGCAAGTAGTTCTAAATTATTCCTTGGGTTAGGTTTTATGTGAAAAGGAATCCTTTTCCCCAGTTCCAGTCACTGTTCACCTACTTTGCTCCAGCACCAGTCTTAGTTGTTCCTTGGTTGTCCCAGCTTCATGGCAGCCATCTTTAGGCTGCCTCTTCTCCTCGCCATGGCTGAGTGGGAAAAAGAACCCCAGGTCAGACAGGAGAGTTACGACTCTCCACAACCTCACAGGGCATCCCTTTTTGCTTCACCACCCCTACAGGGTGGCTTTCGGAGCCCACCAACAGGAAGAACTTGTCACGGGAGTGCGGAGACCCACTCATGTCCAATCTCATTGCGACATCAACCGGAAGCCCATAGCTTGCAAGATAAATTATTGAGCCACTCAAAAAGTCATGATGGTGGCTATTATCAGGTGATTGAAGGTAAAGTTTTTTTTAGCGCTGTCATTTTAAAGTATTTAATCATACTTTGCAGACATTAATAGACACTAGTTAGCTAGAATAACTTCAGAAAGTCAAATTTAAACCAATTTAGATAAGAGGTTATTTTTTCTGAGACTTGGTAAAGACTTAAGTAATCCCACTGAATGTTCTAGAAAGAGTGTGTTTGTTTGCATTGTTTTGAAGATTAATTTAGAAGGAAAACAAATGGAAAACCTAGCTCATCTGCTTTCTTCTTTTGATTTCTTTGCCTGCTAATCCTCTCCCTCTCCTCATTGTTTGTTTTCCAGTATTTTCTAATGCTTTGTCATTCTTCCCAATGACTGAGAACGGATTTTGTTTGTTCCACGCATTCACGTTTGGTGTTGATTTTCAACAATATAAATATAATTTAATACAATCCTGATCCCTTTCTCCAAATATCTAGTTTGGCACAGCATAAATCACGTGTCAGCATCCACAATTATGAGTTGGAACTAAA